TTTTTGCTTATGTGGTGCTAAGGAATCGAACCCAGGGCCTCATGCATGCAAGGCAAGCGCTCTACCACTGAGCCACCTTCCCAGCCCCAAGGCTGTGAAACTTATCTCCAATAAAGCACCAGAAAACCAGAAGTGGAGCTGTGGCTCAAGTGGTAGAGCTAGCCTTGAGCTGAATTGCTGAGGGACAGTGCCTAGGCCCAGAGTTCAAGCCCTATAAACCACCACCAAAAAAAAAAAAGAATGTGCATATATATTATGCCCCTGACATCAGTGATTATGGTGAGTTGACTTGGTTAAGGTACTGCTTATCAGGTTTCAAGTTACATTTTCTTTTCTTTCCTCTGTTCCTTGGGGGCCCTACCACCCCAGAATTCTATGTCTGGGCACTTCTTTCTGCTGTTTTCTGGAGCATCTCCTGTGGGCTTCTATAGACAGGCCCCGCGTTTTTTTCTGGCAGCAGAGCTCTGAACCTGTGTGTCCTGGCCTCTGTCAGGTGGCCCCGATGTCAGTGTATGCCTGTCTGGGCAATGATGCGGCTGCTATCCGAGATGCCTTCCTGACCCGCCTTCAGAGCAAGATTGAGGACATGCGCATCAAGGTGATGATTCTGGAGTTCCTCACAGTTGCCGTGGAGACGCAGCCAGGGCTCATCGAGCTCTTTCTGAATCTGGAGGTGAAGGATGGCAGTGATGGCTCCAAGGTGTGCCTGTGTTTTGTATGCCCCTGGGTCATGGCTTCCTGGGAGGTGGCTGTGAGATTTGAACTCCCACCTGTTCTGCTGCAGGAGTTCAGCCTCGGAGTATGGAGCTGTCTCCACGCAGTCCTGGAGCTGATTGATTCCCATCAGCAAGATCGCTATTGGTGCCCACCTCTGCTGCATCGTGCAGCCATTGCCTTCCTGCATGCCCTGTGGCAGGACCGACGGGACAGTGCCATGCTGGTCCTCAGAACCAAGTATGTCTGTGTATGCCAGTTAACCTGTGCAGTTTCCTTGTTGCTGGTCTGTAAGATGGGAGTGGAGTGACATCTGTTGGATAGTCAAACATCCTTTCCTCTCACACCTGCTGGCACAAGGGGAAGAACTGTTAAAAAAAAAAAAAAAGGCTTAGCTCTTGAAGCTGGGTACGTGGCTCAGTGGCAGAGTGCTTGCCTTGCATGCATGAGGCTCTGGGTTCGATTCCTCAGCACCACATATGCGGAAAAAGCCAGAAGTGGCACTGTGCCTCAAGTGGTAGAGCACTAGCCTTGAGCTGAAGAGCTCAGGGACAACGCCCAGGCCAAGTTCAGGCCCATGACTGACCAAAAAAAAAAAGGCTTAGTTTAGGAGGCTCATGTCTTCATTTGCTCCCCATTTCCCTCTTTGTGGAGCATTTGTTTGTCTTTAGACAGGATCTCAATGTTAACCCAGGCTGGCCTTAAATGTGCAATCCTCCTGCCTTGGCCTCCCACGTGCTGGCGTTTACAGAGGCTTTCAGAAATCTATAGTAGAGTGAGTCCTTAACAGTTATGTATTCACTGATTCTAATGTGTAGTAGTGTTTCTTTGAGGGGAAATACTTTATCTATGCAACTCTTCATAGGAGCAGTTGATTTATGACACACGTTAGGTTGGTGTGGTAGAATAAGAAGGGACCACTGAGCGGAGCTGGAGAGAAGACTGGGGGAGAGCAGAAGTGTGATTTCCAACTTATGCTTTCCTCTAGACCCAAGTTCTGGGAGAATCTAACCAGTCCGCTGTTTGGAACCCTTTCTCCTCCCTCAGAGACATGTGAGGTAAGCTCTGGTGGAGGGTGGGCTGGGCCCCGCTCCTGGGTGAGGGGCAGGGGACAGGAGCCTGGACATGAGATGCCAAGTCAGAGGTCATCTCTTCCACTTGATCATGGAGCGCTTCCCCCCTCTCCAATTCCCCCGCCCCCTCCCCCCAGCCCCCCCCCCCCCCCCGCCCCCGACCTGTGGTCCTTTTTCCCACCAGTGCCTACTTCCTCCCTCAGTGTTTTGCTTCAGGAAGGAAAGTGACTTGTGTGTCAAATGTCTGCCATTCACATGCCCAAGGGGTACACGTGCTTGTTTTCCATGCATTGGGTCCTAGTAGTCTCCCAGTGAGGAAGGACCCAGGGACAGGCAGAGGTTCCTCCTGTGATTGCTGTGTTTGCTCCCCTCCACAGCCCAGCATCCTGGAAACCTGTGCACTAATCATGAAGATAATCTGCCTGGAGATATACTATGTAGTTAAGTGAGTCCTTTCCCCATGAGATTCGGATTCAAGGTGGTGGGGAGAGATGGTGGAGGGCCACCACTGGGAGCATGGCTTATGAATCGAGGCAGAGGAGAGCTGGTTTGGAAGCATGGATGGAGGGCCAGAGAGCTGTGTCCCTGGTCAGTCCATCGATGGCATTTATGATTGTCAGAGAGAGTTATTGTGAAGCCAACTTCATGTGACCGGGATTTTATGGAGGAGAATCCTGGAAGGGCCTCAGCCTAATCCATTATGTTGAGCGAGAAGTCTGAGCCCCACCGGAGGTGATCCTGGATCCGGCTGCCTTACACCCATGTGAGGTGGTTTCCTCTGCCTCCGCCAGGGTCTCTGCCCATCTCATTCCCAGCAGCTCTCAGATCCTCACTGTGGGCTTTGTGCTTTCCTTATACCACAGGGGCTCATTAGACCAATCATTGAAAGATACACTCAAGAAATTTTCCAGCGAGAAACGCTTCGCCTACTGGTCAGGGTATGTCAAGTCCTTGGCAGTTCACATGGCTGAAACTGAAGGCAGTAGCTGCACAACCTTGCTAGAGTATCAGCTGCTGGTCTCTGCCTGGAGGATGCTGCTCATCATTGCCACCAGTCATGTAAGCACCACCTTGGGCCACTCACCTTTGGTCACTTAGCAATGAAGCGTGGAAGTGTCTGGCAGGTGCAGCCTGTTGGGCTAAGTATGAGCTAAAATGTAACAGATTCTGTGCCAGGAGATGAGGGCCACAGAGGGTGGTTAATGGTGTTGAGTAGAATAGGAAGCCCTGGAGAAGAACTGTAGAGAAGTCATTCTCACTCATTTACATGTTCCTGAGAGCTCCTACAGCTGCTCCTTCCTCGCCGGCCTCCGTGCACATGTGCAGGTGCCTCTGTACCCCGTGCCTGTGGACAGGGCATCCATGCTTGGTGACTCACCTGCAGCCAGCTGTGGCAGCTCCAGTCTCCTCTTAGCCATTTGTTTCACTGATACTAGAATCTCTGGTTTTTATTTTTTCTTTTGCCAGTCCCGGGGCTTGAACTCAGGGCCTGGGCACTGTCCCTGGGCTTCTTTTGCTCAGGGCTAGTGTACCAACCACTTGAGCCACAGCACCACTTCCGTCTTTTTCTGTGTATGTGGTACTGAGGAATGGAAACCAGGGCTTCATGCATACTTGGCAAACACTCAATCTCTAAGCCACATTCCCAGCCCTGTGATTCTATTTTGTTGTTGTTGTTTGCCGATCCTTGGGCTTGAAGTCAAGGCCTAGGCCCCTGAGCTGCTTTTTCTCAAGGCTAGTGCTCTACCACCTAAGCCACAGAAGGTTTTTTCTGAGTAGTTTATTGGCAATAATAAGAGTGTCATGGATTTTCCTACATAGGCTGGTTTCAAGCTATGATCTTCAGATCTCAGCCTTCTGAGTAGCTAAGATTACAAGTATGAGCCTTCAGTGCCGGGCTGTGTTTCTGTTGTTAGGAAAAGGGCTGAGGCCACCTTTTCATTGTGTGCAGTTGGAGCTCATATGAGGAATAGCTACCTATTCAACACTGTCAGGTTTTTTTTTGTTGTTGTTGTTTTTGGGGGGGGTCCGGTCGTGGGGCCTGAACTCTGGGCCTGGGCACTGTCCCGCAGCTCTTCAGCTCAAGGCTAGCACTCTACCATTTAAGCCACAGCACTGCTTCCAGCTTTTGTTTTTTCTGCTTATGTGGTGCTGAGGAATCGAACCCAGGGCCTCATGCATGCAAGGCAAGCGCTCTACCACTGAGCCACCTTCCCAGCCCCAACACTATCAGGTTTTAACAAGAGGCCATGCTTCTGAGCTGTTCTTCCCTGTGGGATTTTAGTTTCATGTTTTTATTTCAGCAATAAATTGAGCTTGGTAGATGCCAGCTTATTCCCAGTGCCCTGGTACATCTCTGTGATTCGTTCACAATAACAGACTGCCTAAGAGCTTGGGCTTTGGAACCTAGAAAGAGCATCCTTTTGCCATGCCATGATGGCTGTGGAGCCTGAGACTCAACATGCAACCAGGCTGGGCCACCCACAGTAGAACATCTGCACCTCGTCTTTTAGGCAGCAGTTCTTCAGTTGTAACTCTTCCATCTTGCCATTCTCTGTCCCCCTAGGAAACTTACCTGTAAGTTTAGGGTTTCGGTTGCTGACTTACTCACAAATGGATTAGCAGACTGCTGGCCATGTGCCAGCAGCAGAGCCAGGCCGTGAGCATGGCTGATAAGGTCGTAACCTCTTGCAGAAGAGCCCATGAGGCAGTAAATTATAAACAGACTTGCAAATGAAAGCTAGAGCTTTACATTGTGATGCGTTGCTGTGAAGGTAGCAATTGATGTCTATATTACCAATCATATATGGTTAGAGTAGTCAGGGAGGCCTCTGGGGAGGCACTGCCCGCTCCGGGACCCTCACATGTGAAGAGCCTATGGATTTAGGAGGAACCCCTATGCCAAGTCCAGACGTGGAAAAGCACTTGAGAGATTCAAGAATGGAGACAGGCGCAGTGATATGCATGTAATCACACCTGTAATTCTAGCACTCAGGAGGCTAAAGCAGGAAGATCACAAATTTGAGGCCAACCTTGGCTGCACAGTGAGACGCTATCTGAAAAGGAAGGAGGCTCGGAGGGCTCGACGAGAGTGTGTGGGGTACAAGTGTGGGTTACATTTCCTGAGCCTTGGAAGCTGAGCAGAAGAAAGCTGCATCCCAAGAAGATGGATTAGGCTGGATTTGAGCAGATCCAAGAGTGGACACAAAGCAGTAGGCTGAGCGTTAGTGACCAATGCCTAATCGCCTGACGGGGGTCCCAGCGTGTCTTGGTTTCTGTCCCTTTGCAGGCTGATATCATGCACTTGACTGACCCCACGGTGCGGCGCCAGCTCTTTCTTGACGTGCTTGATGGGACCAAAGCTTTAGTAAGTGTGTCTGCCAGCGCCCCCGGCGCGGCGGGCACTGAGCGGACTGGGTAGAGGCCGCAGGTGGCCTGCATGCTGAGCACAGCCCTGCTTATCCCCCTGCCCTGGGCTGTAGCCCCTTTTTGCCCCCAAGAGCTCAGTGCAGGAGGACCCTGTGGGCAGAGCCCACATCTCCACTGCTCAGGAAGCCGTTCCCCTAAGTGCTGTGCTGTCTCCCTGCGCGCAGCTCCTCGTTCCCTCCTCTGTGAACTGCCTTCGCCTGGGCTCCATGATGTGCACGCTGCTGCTGATCCTGCTGCGCCAGTGGAAGAGGTGAACACTGTGTGAGGAATGGGGTTGAGGCCCAGCGGTGTGGCGCGATGAGGGTGTGGCAGGGTGCAGTGGCAAAGTAGGCAAGCGGCTTGAGGCCTCAACGTGTGTGGCCTTCGGGTGACGTGCCTTCCCACCCTCCCCCCCAACCCCCGTGTTGCAGAGAGCTGGGTGCTGTGGATGAGATCCTAAGGCCGCTCACGGAGGTTCTGGAGGGCGTCCTGCAGGCAGACCCACAGCTCGTGGAGAAGACCAAGGCCAAGGTGTTCTCGGTGTTCATCACAGCGTTGCAGATGAAGGAGCTGCGAGGTGAGGGCAGCCCACCCGCCCGCCCGCTGCTCCTGGCTCCACACTGTCAAGGGGGGACTTTTCAGTCTTGGAACTCTTGCCTTAAGAAAGCATCTTCTTGGCTGGGAAGGTGGCTCAGTGGTAGAGCACTTGCCTTGCATGCCTGAGGCCCTGGGTTCAATTCCTCAGCATCACATTAGCAAAAAGAAAAAAGCCCGAAGTGGCGCTGTGGCTCAAGTGGTAGAGCGCTAGCCTTGAGCTGAAGAGCTGAGGGACAGCGCCCAGGCCCAGAGTTCAGGCCCCACGGCTGACAAAAAAAAAGCATCTTTTGCTTGCCTTTTTTTCCCTCCCGTGGCGTGATTCTCCCTGTCCGCACCTCCTGCATCCCCAGCTCCCTGTAGGAGGGGCCGGGGTGCAGTGAGAGCAGCCTGCTGAGCGCGCCGCTGTCCCCTCCCTGTCTGCCCGCAGTGAGCGACATTCCCCAGTACTCCCAGCTGGTGCTGAGTGTGTGCGAGACGCTCCAGCAAGAGGTGATCACCCTCCTCGACCACACCCGCCACAGCCTGGCCTCGGGCAGCGCCACCGAGGACAAGGACAGCATGGAGACGGACTGCCCGCGGCTCAGGCACAAGGACCAGCGTGATGGGGTGAGGGAGCGCCCCGCTCTGCCCAGTCCTTGGGTGGGGGTGCAGACTAGGATGAGGCTCTTGGGGAAATGTGGGGACAAGCCAGTGTGGCATGAGCCTCGGCGTCTCAGAGAGCTGAGGACTATCTTCCGCGAGCACAGGGCAGTGAGGGCGGAGGACTGGTGACAGGACATGGCCTCAGTTCTAAGCCAAGCAGAGCAGGGACGGCTCGGGCCTCTAGCAAGGTCACTGGGTGGCCATGACCTCAGCGCTGAGCCACGATGTGAGCTACTTCGTCCACATTGGCCTCATGCTTGTCGTCCTCTGGCCTGCGCTTTCTCTGGCTACCATCTTTTTTCAGATGAAGTTGAATCAAATGTAAAACCATAAGCGTATGAGAGTGGGTGGGCTCTCTGGGTGGAAAGCTGTAGACATGCCTGTGCTGGGCATACTCTAGACTCTGGCCACTAGGTTGCAGTCAAAAGTAAGTGCAAAGCAAAACCACAGATAAGATAGAAGTCAGGTGGAGGAGAAGGGTGCCATGTCCACTCAGCCTCTCAGTGGCAGGACAGAGTAGACCGTCCAGATGGAAGGCAGCGCTGAGCACACCCCAGGACTGTCTGGAGAGGGGTGTGAGCTTCCCATTTTGACAGGTGGCAAGAGAGAGAGGGGTGGGCGGGGAGAGAGCACAAGGGTCGGTCATGGTTCCTGGAGGCTGTGTGGCAGGTTTTGGAGAGACAGGCCTGGGGCCAGACCTTTTCCTCTTCCCTCTTCCTTACCTCCACTCCCCGTTCCTACTTCCTCTTCTTTTTGCCCTGGGGCCTCTACAGGTGTGTGTCCTGGGCTTGCACCTGGCCAAGGAGCTGTGCGAGGTGGATGAGGATGGGGACTCGTGGCTGCAGGTGACGCGCCGGCTCCCCATCCTGCCCACACTGCTCACCACCCTGGAGGTGAGCCTCCGCCTGAAGCACAACCTGCATTTCACCGAGGCCGCGCTGCACCTGCTCCTCACCCTGGCTCGCACCCAGCAGGTAGGGCGCTAGCCCGGGCGGCTTGTGCGCCCCGGTTCCGGGTCCCAGAAGCTGGGGCTTGGCCACGGGGCTTGTGGCTACAGGCTCTGCTCGGGTGGTGATGGGGCAGGGCAGGGCAGGGCAGGCTCGGCTCATTCCCAATCTTTCTGTTCAGGGAGCCACGGCAGTGGCTGGAGCTGGCATCACCCAGAGCATTTGTCTGCCTCTCTTGAGCGTGTACCAGCTGAGCAGTAATGGCACAGGACAGGTAAATGCCAGGACCTGCCTGGAGCCAGGCCATTGGCCTCCAATTCCCAGAGAAAGGTGTCCTCCTCCACCTCACTGCTCTACCAGCCTGGCAGCCCCTCCCCATTCCCGCTCCTCCCCTCCCCTCCCCTCCCCTCCCCTACCCTTTTCTCCCCTCCCCTGCCCTACCCTCTCCTCCCCTCCCCTGCCCTCCTGTGTGCAGTGTAGTAGTGGCCTGGAGCCTTCCCGCCCTTGGCAGGCCACTAGCACTCAGCTCAATTGCTGGCACCAACAAATAATAAATTCAGCTTGACAGACGATGGACTTCACCAAACCAAGTTGAAAAGGGGTCCCTAGGGCTCGCTTCAATCTCAGCTACTGTCCCCACTCTCCCTCCCAAAAGTAGTGCCCACTACAGCTCCTCGGCCCCAGCCCCTCTATCCTCCTTTATCTCTGTTTCTGAGAGGTCTTCTAGGCTCTAGTCCTTACCCTCTCCCTCACTGTCTTTGGACAGAATTATGCATATACGCTGCTCAGCCCAGCAGCCCTTGCAGGGTATATATGGGGAATATCAAAGGGGCAGGGCAGGGACATCACTGGTGAGTGGCAGACCCAAGTCTAGAACCCAGGATCCCATACGTGCACGAGTGCTCTCCGCTGGCCCTGCGGCCGCCGGTGATGGCTGCTCCCACCCCACAAGGACCTTCCTTCCAGCCACCAGGCTGCTAGGAGGCCTTGTCCTATGCGCAGCTGTCATTTGTTTCAGACACCCAGCACCTCTCGGAAGGCCCTGGATGCCCCCTCCTGGCCGGGGGTCTACCGCCTGTCCATGTCCCTGATGGAGCGGCTGCTCAAGACTCTGCGCTACAACTTCCTGACAGAGGCCCTGGACTTCATGGGCGTCCACCAGGAGCGGACCTTGCAGGTGAGCCACGCGGGCTGCCCAGCCAGTGGCCAGCCACGAGCACTGCGTGGAGTAGAGCCAGCCCTCCGGCTGCCTTCTGCCCGTGAGAGGCAGTAGAGGCATGATGGGTCCTTCCCTGCTCCCCCCGCCCCCCGCCTTTTTTCCCCAGTGCCTCAATGCGGTGAGGACCGTGCAGAGCCTGGCCTGCCTGGAGGAGGCAGACCACACCGTGGGCTTCATTCTGCAGCTGTCACACTTCCGGAAGGAGTGGCACTTCCACCTGCCTCAGCTCATGTGCGATGTCCAGGTGGGGCGAGCAGCGCCTAGGGGACAGCCGAGGAGTGGAGAGCGTGGGCTTGGGAGTTGGGCCTGAGTTCAGGGGGTGAGCAGAGGCTGCCGCCACGTGCTGTGAATGACCCTGCGAAGTCATTGCACACAGGGCCTGTAGGGAAACGTGGGAACAGTCATGGCCACCTTCTTCATTTACTTCGGCCCTTATAATCTTCCCAGCACGTGGCCGGTCCAAGGGAAGCAGTCACAGCACACTGCACCTTTGGTTGGCTAGGTGGATGGTGGGGGCCACCACTAAGAGCTTGTGTCGCTCCCGTGTCCCAGGTAAACCTGGGCTACCTGTGCCAGGCCTGCACCTCCCTCCTGCACAGCCGCAAGATGCTCCAGCACTACCTGCAGGTAACCACCCCTTGCCCGTCAGACTCAGGAGTGCCATTGGTGACCCCTCGGACTCCCCTTCATGTCTTCCTCTCCCCAGAACAAGAATGGGGATGGCTTCCCCTCAGCTGTCACCCCCCGGGCTCAGAGGCCACCTGCCACTGCCACTGCTGCTCCTGCTGTTCCCTCGAGCTCCACCAAGCAGCCCGCCGCTGACACGGAGGCCGCCGAGCAGCGAGCCGTGTATGCAGTCCAGTGCGGCCTTCTCAAGATCCTCAGCAGGACCCTCGCAGCTCTGCGCCACTTCACCCCGGACGTCTGCCAGATCCTGCTGGATCAGGTACTGGCTGTCGCCAAGCCCGTGGCCAGCCTGGAATGGGGCCTTGGTGGCTGTGCTGTGCAGCTCTGGAGAGCAAGTGGGGCCCTCCAGGCCCCCCAGCACTGTGCCCTTGTCTTGCAGTCCCTGGATCTTGCGGAGTACAACTTTCTGTTTGCCCTGAATTTTACCACGCCCACTTTCGACTCGGAGGTAGCGCCCTCTTTTGGGACCCTGCTGGCAACTGTGAACGTGGCCCTCAACATGCTTGGTGAGGTATGCTGGCCTGCCACTTCCAGTGATGGGCCTGAGCCTCCCCAAGCCCAGGCCTCTTCTTCTTAAAGTGAGGCTGCAGGCCCTTCCCAGAGGACTTAGTGAGGACCACCTGCCCTGGTGACTGGAACTTTCTACTATTATCTGGTTTGGGGTTTTTTTTTTTTTTGGTCAGTTGTGGGGCTTGAACTCAGGGCCCGGGCTAGCGTTGTACTTCTGGGTTTGTTTTTTTTTTTTTGGTCGGTCGTGGGGCTTGAACTCTGGGCCTGGGCGCTGTCCCTCAGTTCTTCAGCTCAAGGCGAACGCTCTACCACTTGAGCTACAGCGCCACTTCCGGTTTTCTCGTGGTTTATTGGAGATAGGAGTCTCACAGTCTCTCCTGCCCGGGCTGGCTTTGAACCACGATCCTCAGATCTCAGCCTCCTGAGTAGCTAGGATTACAGGTGTGAGCCACCAGCGCCCGGCTGTACTTCTGGTTTTTGAGTAGTTAATTGGAGATGAATCTCATGGACTTTCCTGCCCGAGCTGGCTTTGAATTGGTAACCTCAGATCTCAGCCTCCTGAGTAGCTAGACAGGCGTGAGCCACCCGCACTCAGGTGTTTTTTGTTTTTTTTTTAATTGCTTGCTTCTCTTTCTCTAGCTGGACAAGAAAAAGGAGCCCTTCACTCAGGTCGTGGGGCTCAGCACACAGACAGAAGGGACCAGAACATTCAAGTAAGATCTGGGGTGGAGGGCTCCTGGCTGCACCACAGGCAGCAGCGCGGCCCTGGGCAGCAGTGCCAACCCTGCCTTCCCCCAGGTCCCTGCTGCTGTTCACCATGGAGAACTGCTTCTACCTGCTCATCTCCCAGGCCATGCGGTACCTTAGGGACCCCGCGGTGCCCCCTCGGGACAAGCAGCGCATGAAGCAGGAGCTCAGCTCAGAGCTGGTGCGCTGGGGAGAGGCTGCGGGGAACGGGGAGGGAGGTGCTGCCAGCCGGCCCTGGGCTGGGGACTGTGGCTCTGGGTGCCAGGCCTCACCAAGCCGCTGTTTTTCTCCTAGAGCACACTGCTTTCCAGCCTCTCACGCTACTTCCGCAGGGGAGCCCCCAGCTCTCCTGCTGCCGGTGTCCTGCCCTCCCCCCAGGGCAAGTCCAGAGCCAGCCCCGAGAGTCAGGAGCCTCTGATCCAGCTGGTGCAGGCCTTCGTCCGACACGTGCAGAGATAGGGTGCCCGTGTGCCGTGCCTGCTGTCCCACCAGCCGCCTGCAGCCGCGGCAGAGGACACTCTGCGCAGCTCCCCGCGCCCTCTCCCAAGCGCCGCACTCCCACCGCCTGCCCCGAGGTTATTTTTGTAATGGATCAAGAGGGGAACAGCAGGGGCAGGGGCGGGGGTCTGCCTGGTGGGGGCTCAAGGTCAAGCATTCCTACAGCCTGTGGGCAGCCAGGGGCTCACCGGGGTGCCTGCCCTCCAGGATTGGCTGTGTGTGAGTGTGAGGGTTTTCCATGGTCTGTTCTTGCAGTTTTTGGTAATACTGTGGTCTATTTATACAAATATTAAAGTACTGTTTATAGACAAGCGTCCTGGGTCTTCAGAGCCCAGCCAAGGACACATTTGAGTCTTGGACAGCAGTGCTGGCTGGGAGAGCCATCCTACAAGGGACTGGCTGGGGGACGGCTTGCTCCTTTCCCCTCCCCCTCCTCCATCCTTGGTGGGAGGTGCCGGTGCTGAGCCCGACAGAAGCACAGCGCCCGACAGAAGCACAGACGGAAGACTTGCACACAAAGGACGCTTTATTCGCCACTGGCTAGAGAGCAAGCAGACAGGCGGAAGTAAAAATACCAGTTAAAAAGTGAGTGTGGAAGGCAGCAGCCACGCCTCGGCTGGGCTCCATGGCGGGCCGGGCAGCACCAAGCAGCGCTGCTTCAGCCTGGCTGCAATGCGGCCCTGCCCGGCCCGGCCCAGCCCTGCCCCTCGGGGACGCGCCCTGCCTGCTTGCTGCCCCTCGGCCTTTGGCAACTAAAAGGCAGGTGCTCTCTCCATGCCAAGGGTGCCTCCAGCAGGTCTTGGGCCCACTGCGGTGCCGAGCAGTGCTCCTCCCACCTTTGGGGGAGGCGGGGAGGACTGGGGTGCGCAGGGGGTGCAGCCATGGCCGGGGCTTCAGAGCCACATCAGAAGCAGGGCTGGCGGGGGGGGGCGGGCATTCAGCCGTGGGTCCCTCACAGCCAGATGATGGTGCATGGGCAGGATGGGGTTCATCTCCACCCTGAGCAGCTGTCACCAACAGACCAGCTAGGTGGCAGGCCTGCTTAGCTGAGCAGTTCCAAGTAGGTGACGGGAACTTTGCCCTTCTTGTTGCCTCTTTCACCAATGAGCCAGTCGGGGTCCATGCCGGGCAGGCTGTAGACAGTGATGAGCTAGGGAGGAACAGAGGAGAGTCAGCCTGCCGGGTCCCACAGCTGCCATCTGCAGCCGCACAGGGGGCCCCTTTCCCCATCCCCCTTCCCCGCTCCCCCGGGGCCCCTGAGATCCCACCCTTCCCCCCCAGGGCCCTTGTGGCATCAGGCCCACCTCATCGGCCAGCAGGGCCAGCTCACTGCTGTCGGCGGCCTCGTAGTCGTAGAGCACCCTGGCCTTGCGGGTCCCGCTGGCAGGGGGCGCCACCTCTTCCAGGCACAGTGGGGCTTCTCCCGCAGGAGCCAGGCTGGCCACCTGGGGCACTGTGGGCATAGTGGCGGCGGCGGCGGTGGTGGGCGAGGTGCTGCTCAGGGGTGGGGAGGCAGGCTCTGTAGTGCCCACAAAGGTGCCTGGAAATCTAGAGAGGGGGGAGAGCATGACTCAGCAGCTAGAGCCAGCCCATGGGGTACCTTGGCCCCCTAGGTCAAGACCCCTCCCCAGCCAGAGGCTGCACCGCATCTACTCACATGGCACCCTCCGAGCTGGCAGCACAAAGGGAAAAGCAAAGCGAGGGAGATGAGTGGTCCCATCCCCCAAGGTCCACCCGAGGGCCCAGGTGGAGCTCCAGAGCCACCCCTCCATTCCAGCGGTGCCCCGGGGCTCCCCGCCTGGCTGCACCTGCCCAGCTGCTTCTGCAGGTCCAGCATGTGGCGGTAGCACTGCGCGTAGTAGGTCGTCTGGGACTTGACAAACTCGTGGAGGCAACGAAGGTGGTTCACCTGGGGACGAGAGGCCAGAGCTGTGGCCCTCACTTCCTGTCCCCGGGTGGGCGTGTCCCCGAGGCCCTGGCTTTTTGTGCGCCCATGCTGGCCTCCCTGGGCATGGGGCGCCACTCACGTGAGTGCTGCTGATCCCCTCCAGCAGGAGACGTGTCACTTCTGCCTGCCGGTCAAACTCGGTCTGGGCCACCCGGAGCTCCTGCTCAGCCTGGTGGGAGGGGGCGCGATGTGGGTGCACAGCAGCGTGGCTGGGCCCCGAACCCGGGGCCCCATGGCCTACCCTCCATGAGCAGACACCTGGGGGCACCCTGACTTCATACCCGGAGCTAGCTGGCGGGGGCCCTGGGGCACCTGCAGATGGGAAGACCTCCCCCCAAGGTCTTTGTGTGCTATGAGGCTGCAGGGTGGCCTTTCCCACCAAGGGGAAGCTGAGGCCCATGGAGGGAGACAGCACCGAGTGTAGAGCCAGAAGCACGTGGGACAGCAGGTACGGCCAGCCCTCCAGCCCCACTGCCAGCCCTTTGCCCCCCGGAACCCGACTCACCTTGTCTACTTCGTCATTCCAAAGCTGGGGAGACCACAACAGATCCAGGCAGCAGGGGAGGGATGGTGGACACTGGTCAGCCAGGAAGGAGGGACAGCGCACCCCAGATCCCATGCTCTGCCCCAGCTCCCAGGGACCCCACTGCTGCCCACCATGCCCTCTGCCCTCCCCCGGCCCGGAGCTGAGGCTGAGATGAGAGGCCTGGCGTGCGGGCCGGAGGTGACAGTGTGACAAACGTGCCACATGCAGGGAGGGGACAGCCAGCGGGACATCCTGCATGTGCTCCTGCGTGTCCACCCCCCCCCCCCAGTGCCCGCCCCGCACTGCCTCCTGCCACGGGGCCGGGCACTGAACTTTTCCGTCCTCCGGCAGAGAAAGGCAGCCTCGGGCCTGAGCCACACTGGGGGTCAGTGGTAAAAGAAAAAAACAGGGCGGCCTCCACCCTCCAGGGTGTTTCTCCTTCCGCTCGGCCCGGGGAGGGGGGCGGGGCGCGCCATCCAGAGTCTAGAGAAGAAAGACCCCCCTCCCTGCATCGTGACTTAGGAGACCCACTGCCCCCGCCGCGCATGGAAGTCTGAACTGGGACAACACCGCAGCTGGAGAAGCTGAGCCAGGCCAGCTGCGCCTGCGGGGACCGCACCAGAAGCCCGGAAAGCGGCCCAGAGTCAAGTGCGGCCGACGCTCCCAGCGGCAGGACGGCACGACGCCCCCAGCGCAGGCTCCAACATGAGAGCCACGGGGCGCCATGGAACCCTCTCACCCTGGGAGATGGAGGCAGAGGCCGGCCAGTGTGAGCCTGCGTGTGTGTGTGTTGCGCGCATGCGTGCGTGCCAGGCTTCCTGCACCGACAGGAGCTCATGACCAAGCACAAGGCCTCCGTCCCCCCCGCAGCCTGTCTGTGGTCAGTGCAGCCCTGCCTGTGCGGGACCCCACCGGGCCTGGCACACGCCCGGCTCACTAGTAGGTGCTCCCCAAAGGGGGCTGGCTACAGCCTACTGAGGATTCTGCTGGGCCACACTCGGTCCTTGCTAGGCGTCGGACCCCCACGCAGCGTGGGGGCAGCCCCTGATGTCTGCGGGGACAGGCCAGCCCAGCCACAGCCGTGGGGCGCCGGGACAGGCTGTGGCAGCAGCATGTGAATGCGGGGCCTCTCTGAGGCCTGGGGGGCGGGGCTCCACCTCACCTGCGGCCTCCCGGCCCTGAGCCCAGGCCAGGGCCAGGGCGGTGGGGGAGGTGGACGGGAAGGGGGGCGCTTACCGCAGAGGCGCTGGCCGAAAGAATGTAATTACGAGGTCTAGTCTCCTGAAAGTCAGGCACCGTCTGGCGGGGAACAGAGTTCATGGGGGAGGCGGTCACCCTGGGCCACGGCTGGCTGGAGGCCAGGAGGCGTCCCAGAGCCTCCTCCCAGGAGATGCCAGGGCCCTGGCCCCAGGGACGGGAGGATGCCCCGATACAACGCGGACCCTCTGGCACCCCCTAGCCAGCTGGGCTGGGACGGCAGCCCTGCGGGTCTGTGTGGCAGGCAGACGGGCCACAGGCTGGCCGCCCTCCTCCCTGCACCCCGGCACACCCCAGCTCCCTCTCAGCAACCCCCCCCTCCCCCAGCTCTCAACGTCCCAGAATCCACACACTGCGCCTGGCTCTGCGAGGAGGCCACGCCCCTCCCCACCGGGGTGGACAAATGGACGCATGGATGGACAAAGGGACAGGCTTTGACATTTGCAAGAAGCTGTCTCACAGGCCCCGAGGCCTGCACCCCTCAAGCCAGAGGGACCCCACAGGGCAGGCAGAGGTGCTGGGGGTGGAGCCCAGCTGATTGCAAAACGCCCGACGGTGCACCCGGAGCCCGCTATGGCCCTGGGGCCCGTGGGCGGCGCGGCAGGTGGACCAGAAGCGGCACAGCGCGGGGCGGGGATACTCACATCTCCCTCACACTGGCCAAGTTACCCAAGCAGAACAGAAAGGAACAAAAACAGAGAGTTAGTGAGCACACAGCGCAAGCGCAGAGACCCTGGCCTGGGGAGGGGGGGGGTCCTGGGGTGCGGCGTAAGGGTGTCCATTGGCTACCCCCAGTACAGTCCTGAGGAGCCGAATCCACGGGTGCCCGTGCCTGGACGGGGTTCTTGGTGCCCTAGGGGACAAGAGGTGGTGCCCGGCGGGGCGGGGACTCTTTCTGCCTGGCTGGTCGGACGGGGGGGAGGGGGGGAGAGGTAGCAGTCTGGGGTGACAGGGAGAGGCTGCACCCAGGTCCCATCCATGTATGTGTCCCAGCAGCCACAGGTCCCGCCCTGCATCTGGAGCCCACACACCTGCGTGGGGTGACACCAGCGGTGGCAGAGACCCCGCTGTGGCCTCGGGAGGCTCCAGAGGCTGTGTGCAGCCAGGATCCCCTAGAGGAGGGGCTGGCCTGGTCTTTGCTTGGGCACCGAGGGGCCCAGCAGGCAGAGGTAGCCGTTTGACCCCTGTCACAGAGCAGCCTGGCAAGCCCAGAGGGCTGCTCCCCAGACCCAGCTCTCCCACGCCTGGGCCTGCCTGGCAGGGCTGCGAATAAAGGCGGAGCCAGGTGGGCCAGGCCCCGCCCCTCAGCCCCTGGCTGGGCCGCAGGGCTGTCAGCTCTGGTGTCCGACACCAGGATGGGCGCCTGCGCATGGCCCCGCCGGGGGTTCAAGCAAAGGGGCAGTTAGTAGTAGGAGCGAGGGCGGGGCAGCGCGGGGCGGGCAGAGCTTTGGGGGGAGGCGGGCACAACATGCGAACACCTCCAGCTGGGAAGCACTGCAGTCCACGCACCCCACAGAAACCCTCCCTGCGCCACCATGCCTCCCTTGGAGCAGAGAGAGAAATGTGAGCCAGAGAGGCCCCGTGTGCCCCAGCCCAAGCCCCGGCCGGAGGCAGCAGGGACACCTACGGTGGCTTTGGCCTCCGCAGCCTTGGCCTTCTTCAGCCGCGCCTTGCAGGCGTCCAGGTCCAGGCGCCGGTTCTGAAGGAGCCGCCTCTCCTTCTGCGGATGGATGGGGACCGTGAGGCCCGGCCTGGCCCCGGAGACCCCGGAGCACGGCGCCTCCCAGGCCGCCTCTCACAGGCCTCACCGCAATGGTCTTCCAGTCCCCTTCCAGGAAGTTGCGCAGGGGCGTGAGGAAGCCGATGGAGGCTGTGTGGATGAAGTCCCGCTCGGCAGCTCCCAGGCGCTTCTCAGCTTCGGACACTTTGATCAGGGTCTTCCCTGAGGAAACATGGAAGGCGGAAGGGAGTCAGGGGTGAGGGAGAGATGAGGACCCACAAGGACAGAATGGCTTTGCTGGCCAACGGTGGCCGCCTACCCCTCCGTCAGCCTCCAGTGGAGGACTGACAATAGTGCACAAAGCAACGACACACTGTGTCCATTCATTAGATTTAGGGGCTGTGCACGGTGGCACCAGCCTGTAATCCTAGCACTGGGGAGGCTGAGACAGGAAGATCAATAATCCCTAGCTAGCTACTCAGGAGTCTACAATCTGAGGATTGTGGTTCAAAACCAGCTCGGGAAGAAAAGTCCATGAGACTCTTATCTCCAATAAACTACTCAGAAAAAGCCAGAAGTGGCCCTGTGGCTCCACTGGTAGAGTGCTTGAGCAAAAAGCTCAGGGACAGCGGCCAGGTCCCAAGTTCAAGTCCCAGGATCTGACCGAACAACAACTGGAGAGCAGCCTGGGCTAAAGAAATACCACCTTAGTATGTAGAAAAAAACAAGGGAAGATTTTGGGGGGGTTGCGGATGTGGCTTCACGGGATGACATTTGCCTAACACATGAGACACTGCGTGCCACAACAGCACACGCACATGCGCGCGCGCACGCACACACATGCACACACACACGCATGCACGCAAACACACAAAAAACAATTGGAAGAGGCTTCCAGAATGACAGAGAAAGGAGCTTGAGAAATCCTCTCCAAGATACAACCATCACAAAGACCTAACTCAAGGCTCTGGAAACTGACCAAAGGCAAAACAAATTAAAACCTGTCGGTTTCAAAGGTGAGGGGGGACTGGGTGGGCCACTCCTCTAGCGGCAGTCAGGCTCAGGCGGTGCGCCAGCTGTTTGGGCAGAAGAGGAGGAAAAGCCAGGGCAGGCAGGGGGAGGCTGGCAGAGGAACTGTGTCCAGCAGCCCTTGTTCCGAGACTCAGAACGGACCAGGCACATGTGAATAAGCTCCCAGCTGCTCCTGGGGTCTGGAAGGCTGGGCACACACGGGACAGGTGGCCGAGAACCCAGCTAGCTACCTGTGGCCAGATCGGAGGCCTTGCAAACTCAGACTCACAGCTGGCACCCCCGGGAGCTGCCTGAGCCTTGAATGTGTTCCCTAATGCCCACGTCCAGGGCAAAGCCCCCTTTGGGGTACAAGATGGTTAAGCACAACCTCTGACCAAGACTGGCTGGATACTAACCTGCACAGACACTAACCTTGCTTAGGAGCTACACTTGAAACTAAAAATGCCACATGCAGTTGCTCACACCTGTAATCCCAGCTGGTCAGGAGGCTGAGAGAGCCTAAGGATCACAGTTCAAGACCCATATGGGTGTGTGTGGGGGGGGGGGATTGTCAAAGCCTTGTCTCAACCAATAAAAATCTGTTCTATGGGGCTGGGAAGGTGGCTCAGTGGTAGAGCGCTTGCCTTGCATGCATGAGGCCCTGGGTTCGATTCCTCAGCACCACATAAGCAAAAAGAAAAAAAGCCGGAAGTGGCGCTGTGGCTCAAGTGGTAGAGCGCTCGCCTTGAGCTGAAGAGCTGAGGGACAGCGCCCAGGCCCAGAGTTCAGGCCCCATGACCGGACCCTAAAAAAGAAAAAAAATCTGTTCTATGCCTGTCACTATCGATTACCCTGAAGTAGAAACGGGAAGCTCAGGCCCTGAGCTGAAAGTCCAGGATTAAAAAATTTAAAAAGCGTAAAAGATGATTCAACAGAAATAGTTGAAATTTCACTCTCAATAAATACAATCAATCAAGTCAGCAAGGATATAGAAAACTCAGAACCCAATCATCCTAGCTTGCCAGCCATCTAGCGCTTCTCCATACAGCAACATAATACAGTCTTGTACAGGGTACTTCTAGCGGGCTATGGAACATTCCTGCTCAGCCCCTAGGAGATACCATAAAACACACCACAGGTTTAAAAGTCTGAGACCTATAAATGTTCCTTGCCCTCCACGAAATTAGGAAACAACAACCAAAGGAAATCAGGGAAAATCCCCAAATATCTGAAAGTGAAAAGCACACTGCTGAGAGCATACAGAACCACACAGCTACTCTGGGACGTGGTGTGGCAGTCGCTTAAAAGATAATGTGCACTGGGCTCACACCTATAATCCTAGCTACTCGGAAGGCTGAGATCTGAGGATCACAGTTAGCCCAGGCAAGGAAGTCCATGAGACTCTTATCTCCAACTAAATACCAAAACAGAAGTGGAGTTGTTGCTCAAGGTAGAATGCTAGCCTTGAGCAAAAAGCTCAGAGAAGCTGGGCGCCTGTGGCTCATGCCTGTAATCCTAGCTACTGAGCAGGCTGAGATCTGAAGATCACAGTTCAAAGCCAGCCCCGGCAGGAAAGTCTGTGAAACTCTTATCTCCAATAAAACACTAGAAAACCGGAAGTGGAGCTGTGGCTGAAGAGGTAGAGTGCTTGCCTTGAGCTGAAGAGCCTAGGGACAGCGCCCAGGCCCACAACTGACCAAAAAAAAAAAAAAAAAAGCTCAGAGACAGTGCACTCAGGCCCTGAAAAAAAAAAAAAAAGCAGGGAAGCTGGCACTGGCGCTAGTGGCTCACACCTGTTATCCTAGCTACTTAGGATAACTCTTATTTCCAATAAACCACTCAGAAAGCCAGAAGTGGAGCACTAGCTCAAGTGGTAGATCACTATCCTTGAGCTGAAGAGTTCAGGGACAGCACTCAGGCCCAGAGTTCAAGACCCACAATTGACCCCCCCCCAAAAAAAAGCAGGGACTGTGGCTTAGTGGTAGAGTGTTTGTCTAGCACAGTGTGCTGGGCACTGGATTCAATTCCTTTGCACCACATATACAGAAAATGCCAGAAATGGCACTACGGCTCAAGTGGTAGAGTGCTAATCTTGAGCAAAAAAGCAGCTCAGGAACAGTGCCCAGGCCCTGAGTTCAAGCCCCAGAACTGAAAAAAAAAAAGTTAATGCAAATGTGTCATAGAACTCAGTAGTTCTGTGCCCCACAAAGCTGCTCCGTGGACGTTCACAGAGTACAAATGCATCCAACCAAAGCCAAGTGTACTATATCTGTACAGCAGAGTATTACCCAGCAATTTAAAGGAATGAAGTCCTAAAACCAGCAATGAATGAACTTCAAAAAAACCATACCAAGAACACAAATGCACTACAATGGAAGTAACAATACCTAATGTGAAATGCTCACAAAAGACAAACCAGACCAAACAAATATGAGTGGTCAGTTGGGAATGGGAACAGGAATTGATCAGAAATGGACAAAAGAGACATCTGCAGTGGTCAAATGTTTTGTTTTTCTTTGGTGGTACTGGGGTCTGAATTCATCATCTGCCTGCTACCCGACAGGCTGGAACTCTACCAGCTGGGCCTTGCCTCTGGCCCTGCTTTTTGCTGGTTATTTTGGAGATGAAGCCTTGTCAACTCTTCTCCTCCACTGGCCTTGAACTGTGATTTTCTGGATCTCAGGTTCCTAAGTAGCTGATTGTGAGCCATCAGCACTCACGTCTCCACATACGAAGATGCTTGTATAACTCCATAAATTTACTGAAAATCACTGAATTGTACATTTAGGTCAGATATTACATTATAGTGCATCACGTGTACTTCGGGAAGATTACAAGGAAAAAAGAAGATTGGAGTGGTCAGGAAGCACCACTGAGAAGAGATTCCTGCAGTTGTGGAGTGTTTGTGTAACCTCATCCCACTGAAAGCACCCAGGACTGGCCATGAAGCGCAGCGCTAGAGTGCTCCCAGCAGTAGAGAGTGTTCACTCACAGGCAGAGGCAGAGTGCTCGCAGCAGTAGAGAGTGTTCACTCACAGGCAGAGGCAGAGTGC